GAAAGTTAATAAAATTGTGCATTGTATTCTATGATATTAGTGCTTTGTAGATGTTCTATTTTTCTATTTTGTTTTGTAAATACTATCTGGCTATATATTGTATGTTTTGGATATGTTAAATGAATTGATGAGGAGTATGCATGATGCAGGCTTGTTGCCAGTATGCTGTATATATGTCTTGTTAGATATGAATATGTAAAATATTGAAGTAAACTGTATTTGTATTAAATTGGGTGTAGATAGGGATGTAGTCTATAAAGGCTATATTAATGATAAAGTCTTTTTTAGCAACAAGTGCTTTAAATATAAGCCAGTTAGTCTATAAGTAAGTAGAAAAGATAGAAGTGGTGTTGTGAACTAATATATTAAGTATGTAGTTAGTAAGCTATATAAACTTTAAGTTATCTGTATAGATTGTAAAGTGAGAGTTTGCATTTACTATTAGTGCTATGCTAGATAGAACATCTATTCGGAGTTTATTTTTAGATGACTAGGTTGAAGTAGTCTGATGAAGTTTAATTTTTGTTTCAGATATGTGCTAGATTGTAATATATGTTATTTTATCAGCAGTATTTGTGCTATAATAAATAAGTATTATATTAATTGTGCTTTTTTTTGGGATCTGTTGATGTGTTTGCCAAAGAACTTGTCTAGCTTTGGTAGGGTATATTGAGTTGCTGATATCCTTATATATTGCTAATTCTCTCTTGCTAGCTATAGATTTGTTGAGTAGGGCCCTTGGTATAGTAGGATTTTTGTCTTTGATAGAGTGATTGTGGTTTGTAATATCAGTAAAGTTGTATCAGATTCTGTGTTTGCAATTAACTTGTATGGTAATTAGCTGATTAAGCGGTCTGATAAAGGTGCATTTTTTCTTCTGTAATTTCGAGTTATTGATTTTGCAGCCAGAGCAGGACTTTATTGTATAGGTGATAAGGTTAAGCTCCCAGTGGTGTATTATTGCTTTGTCTTGTACTATTAATATTGTTTTTCTAATTGTGAGTTGTGTTAATTCAAGAACCCATAATTGTTTTTTAACTACCACTGTTTGTGATATGTAAGGATTAGGTTTTCTTTAAGTGATGCTGTCTGTTTTAATTCTTTCTTTTATGATGTTAGTTAGTTTAGTAAACTATTTTGGTTCTCTGCTACAAGGAATCTTTTGTATCGATTGTGAAAAGTGAAACCATGAAGTTGTATCTGTTTGGGTATTGTTTGTAAGTTGTTCTATTGTATATAACCCTAGTAGATTGAGGCTTTTCTTTGTTTTGTGTTGGCCTTTAAGATGGTATAAGATAGTATTAACTGGGTGTTCTGAGTTTGACAGTGGTATTGGTCAGTTGTTACTTTGGTTGTCTAGTGTTATTTGTATTTTTTGTAAACTTTTTAGTATCTATGCTAAAGGTGAGAGATGTTCAGATTGGGCTATTATGTAGTCATAGTCTGAAGGATAGATTTTGTAGTCACTGCTGTATATTGTAGTTGCTAGAGTTTGATTTTAAAAATAGATTTGTGAAATTCTGAGTAGTTGAGCTGATAGAGGATAAAGGAAGTATGCTGTTATATTTGAATATTTTCGATAGTCTTTAGGAATATATGGTGTTATAGAAAAACATTGAGTTAGGAATTGATGCAGTGAGACTTGCTTTTGTTTTGTTATGTTTGTATACTTGTTTGTTATTATAGAGCAGAGAGCAGAAAACAGTGCAGTATTTTCGACTCTGTAGCTGATTCTGAATAGAATTACTGGTGTAGATTAGAGTATGAGCTTCAGAAACTAGCATTGATAATGTATATTGTTTGTTTGTCAGTGATTTTGGCTTTTTTGATTTTTGTTAGTACTGTTAACATTAGAAAAAAAAGCTGTTTGGAAGAATATCTCCACAACCACCAGTCCAATCAAAATGAACTATAACCATTGGAATCAGCTCATCGAGATGAATCTAAAGGTGGTGAGATCATCCAAATCTAATTACAGAGAGCAAAGATATCATCAAAAATATGATTTGACTATGTGATTTATTTGTAGATCATATGTGTCACAATCTGATTGGCTGATGATTTACTGCGCAAAATATTCTACATGTAATATATCTATTACATGTCATATATGTAGCATCTATATTATTTATTTTACATATCATATATATATTATTTGTGTTATATGTAGTATCTGTTTTATATATATTATATATCTTATTAGTACTATTTGTAATATTTGTAGTATAGGTACTAGATATAGACTGTTACATTTCTAAAAAATTGAAAAGTATAAAAGCAGCAGATGTGAACCTTGAGTTCAACATTGTGTCTTCATACACTTTCAAGAATAAAATACATTTTGTATACCAAATTCTGAACAATTATTAGTATCTTCATATACTTTTAATTGTTGCCTCTTTCGTAATTGCAAATTGTTTTAAATCTTCTTTGTTAAGTTTTGTAAAAATGCTATACCAATTTAGCCAAAATACAGTAATTAGTTTGGGTTATACAAAGTATTCAATAGCTATAGTCGCTCTAGTTACCTATTATCTTTAAAGAAATGGATATAGGATAATAGTGCATTTGTTATTTTTACAGTAATAATATTATATATTAGTGTTGGCTTTTTTTGACATAGAGTAACAGCAGCCTAGGAATCTAAATGCTTGTTTGTGTTTATGCACTCTATAGTAGAGCTATTAAATATAATACTAGGAGTATTAGTGGGGTTTAGTGTATTTAATACTGACTTGTTTAGGTTTACTTATATATTGGTGAAGCTGTAGAAGGTTGTAGTATTAAGAATTGCTTCCAATTGTTGTTTAGATGGTGTGATCTATATCATGTCATCCATGTATGCCAGGACTGGATAGTTAGCTTCAATTTTATGAATTCTGTTATTTGTCGTAACAGTTGTATATATGATATAGCTTGTGTATTTTTTTGTAATTTTTGTTAGCAATAGATTATAATATATATATCAAAGCAGAGGCATTATGATCTCATCTTGATCGATTCTGTTGTGGGATTTACTTATTTGTGCAAGTGATACAAACCCAAAAAAGGAAATTCAACGTAAAAATAAACTAAGTTCGTAAAAATAAAAATTTAGGGTTAGAACACTAAAGTTAGATGCTTAGAAATAAATATTTATCTCCTATATATAAAACTTTATTTTTATCACTTTTAATTAGTGACCAAAGACAGTTTTAAACACTCAGCTTCTTGTATTTTCACTTTTTTCATTTTTTTTCGTGATTTACTTCGATTCACTCATGTGTTGGACTAATTCAGGATAATCACATTTTACGTTCTCTGATTGGCTAATTTCTCTTTTTAGATTTGTATCACTCGCACAAATAAGTGCACGTCTTGTCGTGTACTAGGTAGGGCTCTGTAGTGCTATAGTTAGTTATTACTATATTGTGTCTGTTAGTAAATATATCTATGATAAGGTTTGTAATAGTTTGTGATATCTTGATTCTGAGTAGTGCTTTCTTCAGTAGTAGGATATGGACAGAATTGTATATCTTTGATATGTCCTGGGATAGAATTTAGAGTTATTTTAAGTATATGTTGGCCTCTTTGATTAAGTGCATTAGAGTCATAATTAGTAGTATTGTAGATGTATTAGGTAATGCAACATGATTGTTAGTATTGAGGATTAGATAATGAGAAAGTGTTTTGTTAAATCTATTTGTAATTATCTTTATAAAGATTTTTCTTGAATGTGTTCTATAAGCATAATAGGTCTAGTGTGTTCTAAATATCTAGTAAAGATTTGTTTTTTCGAAATTAGATATATACAGTTGTTTTTCATAAAACTGGTATTTGTTATAGCTGCAGATAGACATTGTATATATTAAATAATATTGCAAGCATGGTGTTGTCTAGATGTTTTAACATTCATTAAAAATGTTTGTAAGCCAATAGCTTTGTTAATGGATGCTTTCTTTATAACTATATCAAGCTCTTCTGTTAAGATTATATCTGAGAGATTCTTGTACCAGAAGGTTTATATTTTAGATATTGGTTCATACTCTTGCTGCTATATATTTTAGAGTGAGCTGTTTGTAGGATTAGATTTAGTCTATACTTCATAGTGAGTTCATATATAATTTCTAATCTGAGAAGGTTCTGTGATAATATCAGTTAGTATATGTATATTATAAAAGATTACTGGATCTGAGTGTCTCTTCGATCATCTTGAATATGTTCTTGGCAAAGTTGTCATTTCTATTTTGAATATGCTGGGTTATAGTTTGTGTATGAGCAATGTTGTTTTCAAGCTTTCTTGCATGATAAATCACTTTTTGTACAGCCTTGAGTTTGTCTATTGTTGTGCTAATATTATCAGTTACTAAATCCTTGTCTGCTATTTGAGTTGAGTGCTACTTTGCTATGTTTATTTATTTATTAAATTTGCAGGTTGATCTGGTGTATGTTAGAATTTGTGTTAGTCTTGTTATTTGGTTTCTAATTAGTTTGTTAATTATTTTGAGAATATAGTGTAGTGTTGTGGTCTTGGTTGAAAAAGCATAAAATGTTTTGGGTAAAGTTGTAGTAGTTGGTATATATTTTAATGCTGCATTTTTGATTGCTGTATAAAATTTGTGCCAATGTTTGTTGAAAGTTTTAAGGTCCATTATTTGTTGGTTTATAATGCCACTTTTGCTAATCTGCTTTGTTGCTGTTTGAATGAATTCAGTCTATAGGTCTGTTGTTATATGATCATATTGGTATACTATTCTTTTCCTTCTTTTCTTTTTGGAGTTTTTTTTATCTTTGGGTTGTATTTCCATTCTATGCTAATAATTTTGTAATCACTGTCAGTCATAAGGTCTGCTGCTAAGAGTATAGGACAAGTAAAGGCATTGTTATAGAACAGTTTTATTTTATTAGTTTATTATTTTATCTTATATAAATAAAACTCAAATTGCCAGTTGAAAACTTTGCGGTTACTTTTTCTTTCTATACTGACTATACAATTCTCTCTCTAATACTGTAACATAAACATGTCGAATAATAAAATCCATATTCCTTATTTTTTTGATAACAATAAAAACATAATGGCTTTCAATAGATCATCAATTGAAAGTCAGTCCGAACCGCAAGAAGTCACTATTCCTTTATTCCAACCAACAACTTCAGACGTTCAATCTCAAACATTCATTTTGCAAAATAATTTGAATAATGTGCAACACACAACAGTTATTAATAATTTATCATTGATTGACCCGCATGTTTTAGAGGCTTTGCCTCAAAGCCAAGCAACAAAATACCACAAGAATATTGCAGCTGTTTATGCACAATATCTTTCACATTTATCAGTTCCCAATTCTGGTTACATGTTTGGTGAAGATTTCACACGGCAGGCTATGAAAAAGGTTAAGATCACTGCATCATGCAATATGTCACAACAGTCCTTAAACACTTCAACAATCACCAATCAGGCTACATTACCAGTGAACCAAAAACCTTCTGTTTATACAAAATGGACAGAACAAGAAGATGAATAATGGTGCTTATAAACTATGAACATTAGAAGGAAAAGTTTTACAGAAGTATCACAATAGTGACTGTTTAGCAAAGTATTATAAGAAACAGACATGGGAACCAATCATTGTCATCAAAAATCCTTAATTTTTGGAAGAAATTTTATTGGACAGGGAGAGATAAAGACAAAATTTTGCGAAACAGACAATTGTACAACTTTAAAAATTATAAATAGACTCCTTATTCAGAAATTCTCTAATTTATATACAATTAACAATGCACAACACCACCTTGCAACCTGTAACTATCCAAACCCTCCAATACTTTCTTACTATTTGGAGACAAGACCCACTGCCCAAAATAATTTAGAAATTTGTTCTCAAAGTATTTTTTTGTGAAACTCTAATGACCCTAACGATACTAGTGATATTACTACGCTAGTAAATACCGCAGTGGACCTCTCATCTGAACCTATCAACACAGATACCCTCTTAAATACCTTTCTAACCAAGAACTAGAAATTGACCCAACCTCAACCACCACTCCTCCCAAACCAGAAACTGAACCAGACACTGAAGTTTACCAAAAAGTTTAAGATGAACTAACTCAAACCTTAACCCCTCAATCAAACACTCACCCGAACCCTTTTATCAGTAGAACTTGGAAAGACCAACTGATCAAGATTATTCGACAATTAGAAGACAAAGGACGTACTCGATCTAAGCAGATAAAAATTATCGAAGCTTATCTGTACTTAGGAATTCTCATTCAGAAACAGACCGATGAACGACACCAAATTCGTGAACTTCTCCAAGCTTCTCAAGGCTCTCGAAAGACTCAAAATATTTGGAAAGAAGCCACTCGTTTTTAACAAATCTTTAGTATTTGACCTAAAGAATTGTTGTATCAAACCCGATACTTTACTGTCACACACGTTGTTAAGTTTACTGATAGAGAGTATCAGTCTTTAATTAAGAATTTGCAGAGCAAATTTTTATAAGGGGACGGAAAT